TTTTTTATGCAGTATCTGAGCAACAGAACTGATGATGCTATGAAAGCACTGACCACCCGGTAGAGAGCAGTTTACTTCAGTCTACATCAGTTGTGCGTCTACTTAATGTGACGGTTTGTGTTCGGTTTCTTACCAGGCTCTCGTTGCTTTGTGGCAGGACAATGGTCTTCTCCAGGCTGCTCAGAACGATTTTCCACAGATCCTTGAGAATCCTCTTCAACACCGTCTTCTCACAGATGTCAGCAAAAATACTGAGGCTGAGTAACACACACACACACACAGGTATAAGCCACAGACAGTACTGTCAGCGTAGTTACTGTACCGACATTCTGAATGACTAAGCTGTTCATCTCATGTACTTGTGATGTTAGCTACTGTTCACAAAGTGTTGGACATGTGTATATATCATAACATACCATTGAGTGTACTACAACTATGTTCTATCTACCTTTTAACGGCCATTTTATTTTTCATGTAATTTTAAGAAAATGTAAGGAAACACACGGTTATTACTTTATGCAAAGAAAACATCTGGGTCGCTGACTGTGGGTGGGGCCGCACAGCTGAGACATTTGAATCCTGGTCCTGGCAGTGGTTTGATGATGTTGTGCGTGTGCACGTGTCAAATAAAGCTTCTTCACATCTTCTTCTTAGAAGCTTTTGTTTTTGCTAAAACTTTTCTGCAGTTTTGAGTTTGCCAATAAATGTCTGAAAGGTTTTCTTGAGAGGCTTTTGCTCCCGTAAAAGAGATTTTGAATTATACGTAGGGTAATTTTTGTCTGTCAAATTATACCTCCGCCCGGTCTCCTATTAGACCATTAAAAAGTAGCAATCAGGCCAAAATTGCAGGCAATTATGTTTCATTTTGGTAGTTTATTCTGTTAGAGTTCATATGTTACTAATGGCCTAATGGTAATCTTCAAAACCCTGCCACCACATAGTTTTAGGTAGTTAATTTATTTACGAATTTCACCTGAATCCCCCACTCACTTTCCATCCAGGAACTCCATGAGCGGCCTCAGCATAGCATCAGCGTCAGCCTCTGCTGTGTCGTGTTTGGGGGAGGGGTGGAGGATGTTCCCGATATATTTCCCTGCATACAAAGCTGGAGCGTGTTCTTTGCAAACATTGTGCTAAAGTTGTCCAAGACGGTGCTGATCCTCACTTGCAGCTCATTTAGGATGTTAGCTGCCTCGGTATCCATCTACAATACACACACACACAGAAATGTCAACAGGATTCTTCATATTTGAGCCACTCCTTCCTGTAGTGAATCCCAGCCAGCGCTACAATGCCCACTTCCAGAGGACGGCTCACTGACCTGTGACCAGCCTGGAGTCTTTGAGTAAACCACTCTTTTAAACTTGTTAATCTTTTGTCCTTGGCCCTGGGTTGAGTTTAGCCCCATCTATAAACACCGTGTCTGTTTTCCTCCACAGATGTGCTGAGATTTGACAACACTTACAGCATTTTCCAGGCCAAAAGAGTTAGTTTTACATTTGAGATCCTGCTGCCAGACCACCTACAGCCCCCACAGGTCACATCAGTGTTGTTGATTAGCCAAATGTTTGCACAGTGATACTTGATGTTGACAGAAGCAAGTTCACCAAAGCGGTCTGACACCCACACCCGTGGTCTCTACAGTGGTATCAGGTTCATTATCTAAATATCAGGGGCTTGCTGGTACGCCAAAGACAGTGGTATGTACCACGATGTTGACGTCACAATTCGGTTCAAACAATTATTTACAAAGACTTTTTTTTTGTACAAATTTCAAGTACCGTAAATAAATTTTTCGATGTGGTTGGGTGTTGCTGCTAATTGTGTCCCTAATTATGTCGCTAAGTTTAGTTAAAATTGCGGAAAGCACTTGGTTCCTGGGTCCTGTCACAAATGTCTACCGGAGGAAGTTGGGACTTTTTTTACGCTATTCACTACCACAGTTACCGTCAACACATTCCGAAAGTATAAGATTACTCACGAGAACCAAAGATAAATTAATAGCAGTGAATAAGTAAGTTTTCAGACTATTTGATTGAAAATTGTAAAGTTTCACACTAGTGTGCCGCAACACAGTGGTTGAGAATCAATGAAGTATACAGTTAGGGTAGGAAGTAAATACAAGTAGTTCTTAAAAATGTATGTTGATGACCCTGCTGTAAGTCACCAAATTTAATTTAAAATATAAATTAAAATTAAATTTATGGCAGAGTTGAAAAACAATATACATGTACTTGTGTATATATACATATATATATATATATATGGTACTACTAAAATCTTTATCTATTGAAGGTAACATAGGAAATTATAAAGTATACCACTGGAATCACTGAGTTTTTTTTATGAAGTCAGCATATTTTGTGAACATAGACTTACAGAACTATATTTACAACTGTATTTATATATTGTAAAACATGTTGCAAAACACATTATATTAATATTACCAAGATGTATGTGTATAGCAATTGTTCCTTCAACAATTCTGTGGTACTACATAGACATAGTCCGTCATCAATAAAATCTGTTTGGACACAATTCTATATTCTTTGTAGATGGTGTGCTCTTATTCCTTCACATACTTAGGTGCCTTATATTTTAAGAAGCCCCGTAACATAGCAGAAGTAGATCCATTATCTGTTAAAATAAATTGTAGATACAGTAAATACTCCAAACACAGACACAAGAGACAGCACCCACTGCCAGGATCCATGGATATTTTATATACAAAATATTGTTACAAGTTCATTGAACATATGTAACATTAGAATACTTTTTTTTTTACATACATTTGATCCATTCTTTTATTTAACAGTAGATACATGAAAAACAAATCACAATTATAGTCAAGTGTGTTATACAATAAATACACCTTCATAGGCCTTTTATTTAATTATTAATATATTTTTTAACAAACGTTAATTTTTTTTAAACAGTGCAAGATCTTATTGACTACAGCTATGGCCACTGACACAAACGGCCAAATCGACCAGTTAATTCATTTCAATTACATAAAACTCTACATAACATTTGGAGCCCAAATGCAGCTAATTTTGGCAAAAGTCACAGCAGAAAGTAGGATAATGTGTGGCCAGTGGCCACGTCTGCAGACCAGTCGGTAGCCTAAGATTTATTTCATAATCCCATTTTCTCCTCTAACAGCAGTGGTCACACTGACGTCTCAGATGGCGGAGATTTTATTAGTGATGCTGATTTCTTACACCTGGAATAGAAACATATGTAAATTAGACTAATCACACTTTTTTTTAAATCCACCCATATTTGCTATACTTTCCAATTCATTGAATGGTACTGGTAACTAGATATCAACATTAGTAGATGTTGACTCACTTTCTGTAGGCAAAACAGTAGAGAAGGAACAGCAGGAACAGGAGGACCAGCAGCACGCTGAAGACGATGCCGATCAGCTGCTCCATGTTGTGCTGAGACCGAGACAGATTGGGTTCTAGGAAGAGGCAGCGTGGACCACTGTAGGAGGACTTGCAGCTGTGGGCCACACGGAAAATATGTCATTCATATGTCATATGTCAGTGCATTCCAAAAGTGTGAACCGGAGTCGACTTGTATACAGTGAGTCTTCATATGAGTGAGAAATAACGACTTTTCGGACTCACATGCAAAAATGTTTGTTGCTGTCCTGAGAGAACATGCACTGGCCTCCATTCTGACAGAAGCTAGGATGTTCGTCTCCACACGGCCGGTGAAAACTGAGAACCAGGGGTTCTTCTGCACTGCCTGCAGATGAGGAGGGTCAGAGTAGTGAGTAAATACAAGACTTTAAATCATAGGTAGTAGAAACTAAGATTATAATAGTAGTTATTCCATTTTTGGGATAATTAAAGAAGTAATTATTAAATTATAACAAATCTAAAACCTAAAGAGAGAATTAACCTTAAGTTCACAATAGTTTGTTTCAGTAAATGTTCTAATGTTTGTTTGTTTTTTTCACTTTGTGACTCTTTATTTTGTAGTACTAAAATGAACTTACTATTACTGAGCTGCGTCGTCAGGGCAGGAGAGGCCGTGGTGTTGTTGGTGTCATTCACAGTCGCCGATTGTCCCGATGTGGTCAGGAGCAGCAGCGCAGCCATCACTGCGGAAAAGCCTGGAAAATGAAAAGTCAACATTTTTTCTTTTACTACTTTTTACTTCATACTACTTTACTACCAGCAGAGTCCAATGAAAAATTACTAGTTAAGAAAAACAAAGACATTGATAGTGTGGAGTACATACAGATATCCGGACGTGCTAGTCTCTGTGTAAACATCTCGTCTTCACTTGGTGATCGATGGCCTGCTGTTATCACTTCCTCTCTGTCTGAATGAACAGCGTGATCAACCACAGGTCTGTGATCTGCTTTTATACGTTTCTGTCACTTAGTCAACCTCCAAGCAGCCAATCAACGAGCCTCAGGCTTGTTGAAAAATGAGACGCATTTCCTTCTAAAAAAAAGAAAAATCCATTTGCATCATTTCCTCTTTCTGCAGTCAATCTGGACAGGATGAGACATGCACAGACTCCACACACATTTGAAGAATGTCGTAGAAACCCACATAGGTTGCCTGAAAAGGTGCCTCACGTGCAGTTCTGAAAAGGTTGCTTCACCAACGGTGACAAAAGCCACCAAAGCGCAGTTCCTACAAGAGGAAGCTCTTAACAAAAATGTGATGTTTTTTTTTGTCTGCTTCTTATGTACGTTGTATTTCAGAAGAAAATGCTTCAGATCGGCATTTCACAATTTTTTTTTTTCTAAATTTGCGGTGGCTGATAAGAGAAGAAAAACAGTGAGCTTGTAGTGTTGGCACAGTATTGGTATTTATTTATTTAGCATTTATTGTCCTGTGACTCTGGAATGCTTAAAATTAAAATGGATTCTGTAGAAAAAATATGAATCTGAAATCACGAACACATTTAGGTCTGGAATAAATAATTAAATTAAAAATAAATAAAACAAAAGTATAAACCATGTACAAATTTTTCCGAGCAGGTATAAAGTCAAGAGCTTGAGAAGAAAATGTGTTTGACATTTGTCCAGTTGGACTGTACCTGTGTGTATGCAGGTATAATTAGAATTCAGTGCGTGTTCTCACGTGTACTACATGAACAAAAGTATTAAGTTTTATTCCGTCCCAAGCCCACTGGGGTATAAATGTAGCACTTTGCTTTTGCAAGTTGACTTTACAAATACTTCCTGGAGAATATTGCATTATTATCAAGTCACTTGATTCGAGCACGATACCAAAGAAAAAACACTGTTCTGAGATTGCCCTGTAGGTGCTGCTGATGAAACAAACTGTTGATGAAAAACCTCCTCTGGGCAAAACTTCTGCATGGAAAGTGTTTTCATGGCCAAACCAGTAGCAGGTAAGAATGTAAAGTGACATCTGACGGTTATTATTCTGGCTAACGAGACTCTATTATTACAACAATAAAGTACATGTTTGCAAAAATGTGCCCTTCCTTAAAAAAAAAAAAGTTTTGTAAGGCGTGATTGGGTGAGTTAAGTGTGGAAGAACTCCAGTGGTCCACACAGAGCACCAACATCATACCCATCAAACACCTCACTGGAGGACAAGAAGGGAAATGGCAATATACATACATACATACATACATACATACATACATATATATATATATATATATAAATATATATGTATATATGTGTGTATATATATTTATACATATACATATATGTGTAAATATATATATACACATATATATAAAATCTACAGATCCATAAAGGGACATCACAAATGTTCAACTTTTGTTCATACAGTGTTTGTACATGTATATGTACTGCATGTTCAGTGTGTATATGCCTACAGTACTCGCTAGCATTCACTAAGGTGAATGTCTTTAATACTGTGTTTAATGCATCAGTGCATTCTTGGCAGCCGTCACAGTGTTCTTCATCAACATGGCAACTGTCATTGGACCAACACCTCCAGGAACAGGAGTGATGATCCCGGCTTTCTCCTTCACTCCTACAGGTCACACACACACACAAACACACACAGGTTTAGATAACACAAATGAACTCGAACTGTGAATTTATTCATTGTCATTGTCATATCAAACAGTGTTTGTTGTTTGAATATTTACCCTCAAAGTCCACATCACCAATTAGTCGCATTTTTCCTGTTTTGGGGTCATGGACTCGGTTTATGCCCACATCGATGACTGCTGCGCCTTCCTTCACCATGTCTGCTGTAATCAGTCTGGGAACACCTTTACACAAAAGAAAGGGTTGATTATTATTATTATTATAATTATTATAATTATTATAATAATAATAATTATTATTATTATTATTTATCCTCTATGGTTTTGTTGTTAAGGATCCAGATGCGAGCTGAAGCGGTTCACCACAGGTAAGAGGCAACAAACCACCTTCTCTTGTCCACCACAGAGACACAAATTCACATTTGTCTGCTCAGAGAATGACCTTTTAAACTTAAGTAAAAGCCACAACAAGAGAACAGGTCAGATCCACACAGAGGACATGGACGTGAACAGGGGGGTGAACTTTTGACCTTCAAAACTCAATGTTACATTATGATGCCATAAAGCAAACTCTGGTTCCCATGGGTATAAGTTCACATTCCATAAATTCATAAATGAATTCTGTCCCTAGGAAACAGTGAGAACATGCAGTGAAGGACATTCCCTAACCAGGACAAGTCCCACATTTATAGTTAAACACATCAAAATGAAAACATTTATATCATAATTTAGTAACAAGATACCGCTATCTTTTTTGGTTATCTGTTAATAACCAGTCAATAATTTATTGTATTCATGGTTTGTAAGTTGTACAGGAATATTATCACCAACAAACCTCAAACTGTCCGGGTTCATTACTCATGTTGTGTTCAGAAAGACGTCATCATACAAGCAAGTACAGTACAAAAATTAAAAAACGAGTTTTGCACCAAGCTACGAGTGAAACCGAGTGTCATTAGTCAGCGTATCTCAGCACAGAACAGTGGGGATGACTCAGAGTGTTGATTCAAAGAGTTTCTGCTATTAAAATGCATTAAAGTGAATGTCCTTTGGCGAAGGGTGTGATAGTAAAATTATAAGGCGGCATTGTTAATCACACCAACAAACTTTACTCCCAAAGCTGTGTTAATGATAGTTTCAAAGTTTCAAAAATGGTTTTTAAAATACTATTGTGATCTTGAATCTCCTGAATTCAAGAAATGAAACATCACGTTCACTCACCAAATAAAAACATTCTGCAGACACTGTCTGGATATTTACATGTATAAGTTTAAAATAGTGGTTCATAAACTATGGTTGGGGTATCATTGGTGGTACCCTGACCTATTTCTGTACACTACAGTAACATTCAATTCCCAGTAGTACTAGAGTTAGTAGAGCCAGTTTAACGGTAGGAAATGCCGTTGTTCGTATTACTAAGACACATGCACTCCTGGAGCGGCCCAAACTACAGATCAAAAAGTATTAAAGCCAATACCACA